CTCTCTCTCTCTCTTTCTCTCTCTTCTCTCTCTCTCTCTCTCTCTCTCTCTCTCTCTCTCTCTCTCTCTTCTCTCTCTCTCTCTCTCTCTCTCTCTCTCTCTCTCTCTCTCTCTCTCTCTCTCTCTCTCTCTCTCTCTTCTCTCTCTCTCTGCCATTCCTTGCACACAGGGGATCATTTAGAACCAAGTAAACACACAGCATGCCACAGCAAAGAATATTCATTGCAACAAATCGAATTAAACTAGATTATTCTTTTCTCCCACAACACTCTCGCCCCCACATCAAGCCTCTTCACCTTCAGCTTATGTCCTGCCCTCAGCTTATTGATAACCCGCAGGTTATTTTTCTCTGTCTCTGCCGTTGTCTCTGTCTCTCCCTCCCTCTGTCTCTTTGTCTCTCTCTGTCTCTGTCTCCTCGCTCTCTTCTCTCTCTCTCTTCTCTGTCGCTGCCCCCCCCCCTCTCTCTCTCTCTCTCTCTCACTCTCTCGTTCTTTTCCTTTCTGATTGTCATTATCAATTTCCTATCTCTTTTTGTCATATTAAAAACGACCGCACATTACAAAAAAAAAAAGGTTTTTGTTTTCCTTACCACATTACAGGGAAAGAAATGCGGTCACCTTTTTAATCGCAGCTTTTACTATCTTATCAACAATTATCATTATCTTCTTTCACTCTCTCAAGCAAGGCAAATGCTCACGTATATTCATATATTCTGTCTCTCTCGCCTTCCTTTATTCCCTTTCTTATAATCATCGGAAATTTATTGTTAATTTATCATTTCTTCTGCACATCTCTCACCCTCCAATCTGTAATGTTGTTTTTCTTTCTTTTTTATTTGTTTATGTATTATTTTGTTCCATATTCCATCTCCGCTGTTATTACTAACATCTTGTCCTTTTTTATCACCTTATCCTATATTATTAAGTTTCTCTTTACGTTCTCGATCTCTCTCTCTCCTCGCTTTCTCTCTCTCTCTCTCCTCGTTTCTCTCTCTTCTCTCTCTCTCTCTCTCTCTCTCTCTTCTCTCTCTCTCTCTCTCTCTCTCTCTCTCTCTCTCTCTCTCTCTCTCTCTCTCTCTCTCTCTCTCTCTCTCTCCTTCTCTCTCTCCCCCCCCCCCCCGAGCGCCCTCCTTTCGCGCCATCAGGACAACAACCAACATGGCGCCTGACATTCGTGGTGAGCAACGTGACCGGTGTAAAAAAAAAATACGAATTCGTGTGGGAAAGGGGTCAGAGCATATGCTGCACGCATTCGGGGGTCTCTTCTTTGTCAGTTCTGAGAGAGGGTATGATATTTTCATGAAGTCTGAGAAAAGGAGGTCAAATAACTAGAAAAAAAAAAAAACCGGGGAGATATCTGAGAAAAGTGGGGGAGGGGTGAAAATTATAGATCTACCTGAGATGAGGTTGGTTTTTCAAAAGCGGTTGAGAAGCATAAGTTCCCCCTTAAATGGCAGAGTGGGGGCCGGGAAGCACAGAAGATTGTATTTCTCTCACTCTCTCTCTCTCTCTCTCTCTCTCTCTCTCTCTCTCTCTCTCTCTCTCTCTCTCTCTCTCTCTTCTCTCTCTCTCTCTCTCTCTCTCTCTCTCTCTCTCTCTCTCTCTCTCTCTCTCTCTCTCTCTCTCTTCTCTCTCTCTCTCTCTCTCTCTCTCTCTCTCTCTCTCTCTCTCTCTCTCTCTCTCTCTATCTGTCTGTCTTCTCTGTCTGTCTGTCTGTCTGTCTGTCTGTCTCTCTCTCTCTCTCTCTCTCTCTCTCTCTCTCTCTCTGTCTCTCTCTCTCTCTCTCTCTCTCTCTCTCTCTCTCTCTCTCTCTCTCTCTCTCTCTCTCTATATATATATATATATATATATATATATATATATATTCCTACATATATACATACATATATATGAATTGTATTCATGTTGACAAATGTGGAAAGGTATGAATGAGAACGAATATCTTCACAATACAAGAGATGTATTTAACCGGTGTCGATTATATCTTCGTATTTCTGACGAAGATATAATTGAAACCGGTTAAATACATCTCTTGTATTGTGAAGATATTCGTTCTCATTCGTACCTTTCCATACACATACATATATATATATTATATATAATATATATATATATATATATATATATATATATTATATATTATACATATATATACATATATATAAATAAATAAATATATATATATATATATATATATATATATATATATATATATATCTTCCTCTCCCTCCTTAATTCTCTCTCTCTCACTCTCTCACTCTCTCTCTCTCTCTCTCTCTCTCTCTCTCTCTCTCTCTCTCTCTCTCTCTTCTCTCTCTCTCTCTCTCTCTCTCTCTCTCTCTCTCTCTCTCTCTCTCTCTCTCTCTCTCTCTTCTCTCTCTCTCTCTCTCTCTCTCTCTCTCTCTCTCTCTCTCTCTCTCTCTCTCTCTCTCTCTCTCTCTCTCTCTCTCTCTCTCCTCTCTCCCCCTCCCCCCTCCCTCCCTCTTTCCAAATCCCTATCTACCTGTTATCCCCTCCTCCTCCTCCTCCCTCTTCCCGTCCGCCGTCCCCCCCCCCCCCCCCCGGTCCCTCACCAGTGAGATGGCCGACAACCTGAGCAAGCAACCCAGGAAGGGGATACTCAAGAACTCTTCTAGTTTTGAGGGCAATGAGAGACAGAGAGAGTGAGTAGGTCCTCGTGAGGGGTTGGTGAGGGGTTGGTCCTCCCTTTGGGCCGAGGAGGGGAGGGCGTTGGGGTTGAAATGAGGGAGGAAAATGAGGGAGAGAGGTTGGGGTGCTGAAGACCTCCAACGTCCCCCTTGCGAGGAGAAATTTCGTCGGGTTTGGGTGTGTTTTTTTCTTCTTTTCCTTTCTATTTTCGTCTCTCTTCTTCTGTATTTATCTATTTTTGGTTCTTCCTGACATACCAGGGGGTTGGCTTGCAAAGGTGGAGGCTTATTTTAGGGTTTTTGAGCTGGTTATGAGTCATGTTCAGAGGTCCACTGAGTTCAAGCCGGATTCCTCATAAGGGCTTTTTTTTTAGGATTTTGGGTATTTTGGGCATTTTCAGAGCGGTCTCTTTGGCTAGTGTTGGTATGTTTAGAGAGGCTTTTTTGTTTTGTGGGTATTTTGGTAATGGTTATCAGAGGGTATTTTTTGGTAATTGGTATGTTATATTTTGTTTTTTTTGTATTTCAAGGGGATTTATCTGTGTGAGTGTGAATTTAATACGGTACAGGAGTCGAAGAGTAAGGATTTTGAACGTTTGAGTGGCAACTTCTTTAGGGACTAGATTGAATCTAAAGATGAGGATAACTTTCACTCTCATCCATTTTAGGCCATTGAGGGTATTTCGCAATGACACTGGAGGACAAAGTCACTTTTTCCGGAAAGGGAAATGCATGCACACCAAATGTTGGGTGGGATTGACGCATCCTCGGCTAAGTTGGTTTGTGATTTGTTTTTTTGGGAACTAGGGGATTAGATAGGGAGAATTAGTAAACTGAGAAGCTGGGATATAATTGGTCATGTTGGTCGAGAAAAAGGGTATTAAAGGTAAAGCTAAGATGTCGGTATTTTAATGTATGTGGAATTTTATGCTTTGATGGGAAGGAATGATTGTAACCTATTTAATTCTCTAGAAGAATGCTTGAGATGAAACTATGGTTGGCCTGGGCTAAATGGCTCGGCTTTGCTCAGAAATAGATATCCAAAGTAACACTGTAAGAAGATAATAAAAAAAAGGGAGTTATGGTGTAGAGAATAGGTGAAATAATGCAATTAGGTACATGTGACAGTCTACAAAAAAAGAAAAGATTATCAAAATTGATGAAAAAGTGGCTGATACTTTACACTTCGGCAAAGACAGAAAAATCTTTCCCCTCATATATGTTAGTACAGTTAAATTACAGGCCTCCTTTGGTGATTTATGTCAAATAAAAAAAACTTTCTATGCTCTGTTATGCTATAGACGTGTGGCGAAGGTTGTTCTTTGCCAAAGGACCAAGCATGGAGACCAAGGTGTTGCTCTATGTTATCCGTTTCTGAACAAATGAATTGACTGTTTTATATAGATAAGTAATCACTAAGTAAAGACTGCACTGGGTTTTGCAGCAGCTTCTGTGCTCTAGCAAAGGCCATCAAACCTCCCCCCAAATTATTAATTTTCTAATTACGGAAAGAGATATGGACTTGTTCCATACTTGACGATAAAGAGCCAGCAAGGTCTGCAAGCCCTTTTCAGTCATAACACACGAGTGGAGGCTTGAGCACACATGCTGGAGCGGGAATGGAGGCACTGACTGTACTCAGTGTGTGTTATTATGTACACACATGCATTAAAAAAGCATATGGCAAAGATAGGGAAAAATTGCCTGCAGACCTGAGAAGCAAATTTTCTATTTCTTTTGTTAATGTGCTCTTTTTTTGTGTGTATGTGTGTATGATGCAGTTTATTTGTGTTCTCTTGTCTCATTAGTATCATAGTACAAATGCTGATGGCTAATAACTCGGAATTAAGCTTGTTCTCTGGGCCAGTTGGGTGGAAGACGACCTTTTCAGAAATGAAATTCCCAGCTTCTATTTTCTTTTTCTCTTCTTTTCTTTTTTCTTCTTTCTTCTCTTCTCTACTTTTTCCTTTTCTTTTCCTTTCCTTTTTTTTTTTTCTTCTTACTTTTTCTTTTCTTTTCTTTTCCTTTTCTTTTCTTTTTCTCTTTCTTTTTTTTTTTTTCCCTTTCCTTTTTTCATCTCTTCTTTTTTCTTTCCCTTCCTTTTTTATTCTCTTCTTTTCTTTTCTTTTCTCTTCCTCTCTCTTTTCCTGAGCCTGTTGAGTTTAGCTTATTGAGTTATTACCTGATGCCACTGGGGTTGGCTTGTGTGTTCACGTCATGCCCTCTGTGATTTTAATTTATTATTTGTTTATACGCCTAGATTGATTTACAAATGCCAAGTCACCAATGAGCCAATTATGAGAACTACTTACCTCACCTGTTTACTGTTTTCCTTGATACATGAAAATATTTGTTATCTTATTTTGGATTTAGGCTAATTCTTTACAGTATGGTCGAACTCGCCACTGACTGAGTCCCCAAGTTCATGTCAAAAAATATATTCATCAGTCAAAGTTGCTGTGACTGAGCGTGCCCAGTGGGAGGGTTGATTGGGAGCTCTGCCCTCCCACACCCCCCAGAAAACATTGTCTTCACCTCAGTATGCACGGCAAGATAATAGCTGAAACTCGGGAGCACTGAGCGGACTTAGGCAGAGAGCGGCTCTTTCCACTATCTTTTTCTTTTATTTATGCATTACTGTTCATGTCTGCAGGTTATTTCTTGTACCTACAGAAAGAAATGTGGACTCAGTTTACCTTTGCCAAAACAATACTACATTTTTATTTTTATCCATCTCTATGCAGAGACATTTCACAAAACAATATTACGATGAACACAACATTTTCCTGGCCACAGTGAGTTAATTGTGTTTCCGCATTGATTGCTCAACAAGTACCCAATCGGTGTTGCATACTTGCCCTACTTATCTCACCTCTTTACCCTTTTCCCTGATTTTGGGAAAGATTTTTGTTTAATTGTTATCGCTGTGAAGATTTTACTAACTCCTTGATAATCATAATGTCATTAATGATGCTAATGGTATTAATAGCATTAGAAAAAATAAGTTTCACCAAAAATTCAATGAATGGGGAGAGTAGGGCCCACTAATTAATTCCTCGGTGGCTTAGTGCTTGTCGAGCTTTCTATGTGCAACAAAATTCACAAAAATAATTACAGCATATGTATCCATGTACAAAGGGTTATTGTGTGTATCATGGACCAATCTCAGTATCTTTTTACATGACGATACTGGGATACTTGAATATATTTCTATGAGAGTTAATAAGATTGCAGATGAGAATGTATTTATTATTGTTGGTGGTGTTATGATTATCATCGTTTGCAATTGTGATTATTATCAAAAACTATTATCATGATTTTCATATTCTTACTATTATCTTTATTTTTATTATTAATATTATTATGATTATCATGATTTTTAGAAAATACCTTTTCCTCATCTCCAATATTCTCCTCTTCATCCCCTACTGCACAACCCTCTTCAATGTCAACCCCCTCTTCCCTTGTTACTACTCTTCATCCTTATTGTCCTCCCCCCCCCAGCAGAACTACTCCACACCACACCACCCCATCTTCCTCTCGCCCTCGTCCTTCTACTACCTCTACCTCTGCAAACCTTCTGGGTACTCTCTTTGGCCCAGCCAAGTGAGATCGATTCTTTGTGAATCCCCCCACAGCCCCCTATTCTGAGAATACCCTTCTCTTTCAGCAGTGCCTCCTTACACTACAGTAGGCAAGGTTACCTTTCGCAGTCGCTCTGATCATTCACGCCTTGTCACTGTTACATCTGAAGCCCAAGCTCATGCCCTATCTACCCTAACTGACCTTACTGACAAACCCATTCCTATTGAATCTCACCCAAATCTTAATACTTGTACTGGAACTGTTTCTATTCCCCCAAATGCTTGTCCCATGTATAACAAAGACTGGTCAGGCTGTGAAAATTACATACTTTCCTGCCTTGGTGAATAGAATGCAGTGGCAGTACAATGCTACACTCTTTCTCCAAGAAGCCAAAGTAAATCCCACGTCAATATGGCCAAGATTAGCTTCCATAGACAAGACCTCCCCCATAAGGTTTATATTGGTGGATTGTCTTATCATTTCCGACAATATTGACCCCTTCCTCGTCAGTGTCAAAAATGTTGGCGTTTTGGCCACCCAGCCAAACATTGTCACTCCACAGCCCGATGCCCTCTATGTGCTCAACCTGGTCATGACTGTTCAGATTGCCCTGCTCAGTTATGTACTTGTGCTAATTGTGTTTTGTAGGAGGTAGCAGTGAGGTAGCAGTCCTCAGATTTAAACTAGGCCTCACTCTACATGAGGCCAGACAGGAAGCATGACAACGAGGTTTTTCTCTCTCAACTTATTCCAAAACAGTCCTTCGCTCTGCTCCCCCACCATCATCACAAGATATTTCTGCATCTACCCAGGTATCTTTTCCCTATACCCAAAAGCTACGACCTATGTCTACTCACCCTATCCACCAGTCAAATCCATTTTCCATCCTAAATCCAGATACTCCAATCTCTACCACTTCCTGGATACCTACCCCTCCTCCTCACTTTAGTTTACCAGACAACCTAAACGTTCCACTCCACACTCTCCTACTACATTCTCTCCTACACCTTCCTCTTCATCTGTTCCTCAGATATCCATCTCCTCTTCTCCTTATAAGAGAACCTTTGTTTCTCAGTCCTCTATACCAAATTCCCCTTCAGAAACCCTTGAAGACATCCAAAACTTCCTAAAGATGACCCAAGGGAACACTCCGCTCCCTCATCCACCCCCCAATCCCTCTGTTCCAACTCCTGCTACATTTAAAGTATTTGCAGATATTCATCCTCCTCCTTCCTAAGTTCCCTCCACCCCCCTTCCTCCTACACCCTCTCAACATACCCCGCCCTCTCTATCACTTCCACTTGAATACTCTTCAGACCCCTCCTCTCCAGATATTTTTCCTGTTGCTTCACCACCTTCCCCAGTCTCCCTTTCTCAACCCCTAGATTCTTCTCCTACTTATCCAACAGCAACCTTCTGTTTTCCTAGAT